TTGGCAAGGGGGCGCAGGTTGACTTGCCGGCAAGGAGCTGAACCGGGCCAGAACTTGTCACACCAGCTTGGATTCAGGGGAGGAAAAAAAAAGAGAAAAAAAAAAAAAAAGAAAAGAGTAGAAGTACAGTGCGACAAATGGTTTACTCCTGCATTCCCCAGGCTTTTAAAAACATAATTCAGGAAAAGGAAACAAGCATAGTCCACTTGAAGCCTTGATATAGGACATAAAACCTTTCTTTGTTTTGTTATGCTTCTACTCTCTGCATGCACCCTTTGCTTTTCAGGGGTGAGATACAGGAAGCACAGGCCTCCGTAACCTCTGGGTTGCTGGGGTGAGACCAGAGGCATAGTTCATTAATACAGAAAGATCAGTATTAGGGCTCTGATTGCAGGTTGAACTGTGTTGCAGCCAGGTATTGCAGGTGTTGGTCCACTACAAACTCGCTCCGCCGGTTCAGCTTTGTTTGAAAAAAAAATGTTGACGTGTTGGTCATTAAGTATTTTCTGCGCTTCTGCAGCTGGCCTAAACATGTAAAACCAATACAAAATGCCTGTCATCTGCTCTGATTTCTTACATGCAGTCAGGCGCCCTTGCCTTGTCCGGATCAAGTTTGTCTTGCCGGGTGATCCACAAGCGCACAGATCCTCTAGGAACTACAGCCTGTTACGTACAGCCACTAATTCTGGTTGTTCTGCAGGAGATCCTGTATATGCGGTTCTTTATCCCCCTAAGTAGTTTTACGTCACTCTGTGAACACGCTGGGGCTGGTGACAATGCCTTATTTCAGCCTAACAAAGCTATTTTCCTTTGGTTCATTTTACAGCCAGAGGAGAAAGATGTAATTCAGGAGTGTGTTCCTCACTAACTACAGACCTCAGCCAAGTGAGCAATAGCAAATACTCTTTGTCACTGCAATTTTGGGGCCAGTGCTACTCTTTAGAAGTGTTTCAGGTCACCTTAGTGAGAAAGCTGTTGTAAGTTGCTGTATTCTAGCATCTGTATTCAAATTTATTTTATTTACGCTGAGAAAAGGAAAAAGCTTTTTGGCCTTAGAACCCGTAAAAACAAGACATCTATGCTGGAAGTACTTTCTCTACCGGCAGTGGTTGTCTAAAGTGTTACGACTGAGTTAAGCTCAAATGGTGTTACATTGCGTTTCCCTGGGCAAGCAGAACTCTTCAGGTTTACTCTGCATTTTTCCTACCGTATTTGAATGAAGAACACTAGGCAGTTTAACAGAAGTTCATGGGCATTACATTTGATGTTTATTAACAACATTTACTGAAATTTATAATACAAGTTATGTTACCAGACATAGGAAGAATTTTACGTCTGATTGGCTGCAACTATGTGACTATGTGCTTTCTATGCACTGCCACGAAGTAAGCGGAGACTTTGCGTTAGTTTCAGAACTACATTCACACTTTCACTGTTCGGAATCGGATGCCTTAAGATTCTTTTACCCCTTACAATTATTTGATTTAAACAGTGAAATGAGATGGCATATGCTGGTTGGACCTTCAAAAGCTGAAAGAGGAGGTGATCTGTTTTTGAAAAAATTTGTTTGCTTTATATATCCGTTTATTTAGTAAGGCAAAGATCAAACCAGTTGAACTCCTCAGGTTCTTTTGCTCTCTTGCTTACAAACAAGAGCATGTGGACTAATCCTTATGGATGATACACAAATAACTTCAACAACATGGCGTGAACAAACTAGATAAGGAATTTTTCCCTGGCTTGGGTAGTAAGAATCATAGATGATTTTCTTATTAAGTGCAGATATCAAGTTAATGGTAGACTTTTATGCTAATTTTACATCAGCATTACAGCTTCAGTTTGGGGCCAGTCTCCAGAAAATGTAAATATTAAGAAGGGAGATATATTGTCACCGTGTAATACTGTGATAATGCTGCTACGGTATGCTTTGGATGTGTCTTCTTTTTTATTAGCACAGTTGACTGAAAATTATTCTGCATCTGGGTCTTGATCACTTCTGGATAAGTGTTATTTCTGTCACTGAAATATAATTGAATTTTGGTGCATGAATTTTGAATGTTAAATTGGAAATATTTTACTCAGAAGATAACCCCTAACAGTCCTGTAGCATCAGCATTTGAAAAGACAAGGTTCTGTAATTTCTTTGTTTATCAAAATATCTTTCACAGTGAATATAATAGAGGACAGTTAATTACAAATCGTTTTATCTAACTTTTTTAATTACTGATTTAACAATATGGTATTCTCTTGGGCTTTTTTGCTCAAACTTGAGTTTATTTTAGAGAATCAGAGCTGTGTATTGCAGTCTCGGAGAACTCAAGATTTTGTTGCGCTTGGAACTTGGTAAATGCCTGTAGGAAGGACTGCCCAAGCTCCTGTTCAAGTGGCAGTCATAGAATCATAGGATATCTCAAGTTGGAAGGGACCCATAAGGATCACCCTGTACAGAAACAATCAGAAAGGGAGGGTGATGGGTGACACGACCTTGTGGTGTCTGAATGGCACCCTCTGAGAAGAGTTCAGAACTTAGGGAGGTTCACGTATGCACTGACTGCAATTCAGATCCAAGGACAGAGACAAAAGTATCTTCTTAAAAAGCTGACGTTGAGAGCAGTGTTTTTCACTTGCCTGAGGAGAGCGGTTGATAGGCTGGGCAGGGCTGCTACTCAGAGGGATCTTGATGGGATAGAGAAATGGGCTGACGGGAACCTCATAAATTCCAGCAAAGGCAATGAGAAAGCCCTGCATCTGGGATGGAATAGCTCAATGACCACTACAGGCTGGGGGAAGACTTGATGGAGAGGAGCATTGCAGAATGGGACCTAGGTGTCCTGGTGGACCACACGTTGAATATGAGTCTGTGCTGCTGCAGCAAAGGACAACCGCATTGTGGGCCATATTAGTAATCGTGGCTGACGGACAGCAGGTCGAAAGAATGAGTATTCCCCTCTGTTTGGCACTTGTGAGACTAGAAAGGCTGTTAGGGGGCTGGAGCACATGATATTCAAGGAGAACCTGAGAGAGGTGGGTTTGTTCAGCCTTAAGAAGAGAATGTGTAGGAAGGGGAGATCTTGCTGCTGCACATGGAAAGATATAGAGCCAGACTCCTTGTAGAGGTGCCTGGCAGTGGGATGAGAGGCGACGGACACAAGCTGGTTTAGCTACAACAAAGGTCTTTTTGGGTTTGTTTGTTTTTAACCTGGAGAATGGTCAAACACTGAAGGAGGGGTCTAATGAGTGTGTGGAGCGTCCATCTGTGGAGGTGCTATAACTTGACTGGACAAGGGCCCATGCAACCACATCTAATTCAGCTTGTGCTGGATGGTGTATGAAAATCCCTCCCAACCTAAATTGTCCTGTTCTTCTGTGGTTACTTGAGAACCAAACATCATACCTTTGGAAGTTAATTGTTAAAGTTATGCTTAGGAAAACATGAACCCAATAAAGTATGCAAGAAACCTTAGATTTCCTTGAAATTGCATCTGGAACGAACATACGGTCATCACAAAAACTTGTAATGTTAACTTTATTTACCATATTATATGAACTTAAAAAAAATAAGACCTTGCATATTTTCTTATTGGTAATTTATGGCTTAGAATTTTTGTTACAAAAGCTAATGTTTGAGAGAACATCAAGCAGGAGGCCTGATGAGAATGTAAGGAGTATCACACTTACTGTGCAGTGAATTTTAGGCAGCGGCACCTTAATAAGACTCCTAGACACTGTCATGAAAGCTAGTTTACCGCCTGGGAATTTTTAAGGAGAAGAAAATGCCTATCCAGAACCCTGCATGCAGCCAAATCTTTGAATTTAAAACTGTTGCCTATTCAGGTTACCTACTTAAGACATATACCTGTTGGTTACATTAACTCTGCTTTCACAGTGGTCCAGTTTATAAGCCACCTAAACTGTTGATTTTGAGTCTTATCAATCCCTAGATGTCATTAAAGGTTAAGGACAAAATTATGATGGATTTAGCTTAGTGTCTGCTCTATTTGTTCTAAGACAGAATGGGCTGTGGGTTTCTGTGAATTTGCGTTGAGTGATAAGTTTGAGGAATTTATGTCGTCGCTTCTTCATGATGATTCAGTATTAAAGAAAAGCATGACGTGGCTTCTAAATATCTTTAAGGAACCAATTTTTAATTAATTCTAGCTCATAAACTCATGGATTAGTGTATAAGCTGTCAGGAAATTAAATGTGTATTCAAAGAGGAAGTACAGCAGTTTGGAATTTGATGCTTTTTTATCTTTTGCTCATTGTAAAAAAATCTGGTCTAGGCTCAAAATGGAGTTCAGCTGTGAGATACAAGTGGCTCTTTCAAAAGTGTTAGGGACTGTAGTGACTGAGGTATAATAAAAGAACCGATGTATTTTTTTATCATCTTGCATTTAAACTACTGTTTTTGGAATGGTGGAAAGAGTAAATCAACACAGAAGGATTAAAGTTCTTTTTATATTGCAAAAAATGTGCGACCACCCACTGCATGTTTATGTGGAGATTTGGACAAAGACTTATCTAGTCAACATATTAGGGGTTAGAAGGGGATTTGTAAGACAGCTTGATAGTGTATCTCTCTGTTACTTGAGGCAGGGATGATTTAGTGATGACTGCAAAGTAGCAATGGCTGCAAAGTCAGTTAATGAAATAATTTCCTTCTGGGGTTCTGAAAAAGGAAACGGTGTATCAGTGATAACTCTGCAGTGAAATCTTAAAGATTGACTTCCCCTAGCTTGTTCTGCTCTCAGTAAATGCTCAGTTTTCCACAGCTTTCAGTTTCTTTGTTGGATGGGATAGGTAAAGGACAGTCTTAGCGTTCTCTTCTTCAGAAAGACACAACATTGTGTTATCTGCAACTGTGTTGGAAAAGGTGAGTAACCTGGGACTATTTTAATCTAGAAACCCAGCTTCCCTTTGCCAGAAGCGCTTTCAGCTTTCTCACTGGCCTGATGGAAGATGCTCACCACTTGGCTGCTTTGAAGGTGAGGGAGATTTGTATGTATTCTCCCTGCAGCCTAGAAATGAGGGCTGTGACTGAACTTTTGCGTGGTTCAGTCAAAGACCCAGTGCCATCAACTGGTGTCTGCCTTCAAGCAATCTCTGCCTGCAGGGATCACTGGTCTCAGAAAAACTTCAATGCTCTCCCTCCACACTTTCATACCATAGTTAGATGTGAGAAAAGTAATGTCTAATTTCACTGTTTGGCTGTGTGAAAAATAGGAAATTTTTGTAACCTGTTACATTCTGCTGTGCCCAATCTGTACCAGGAGGATTATGCTAGTTTAATTATTTTGAATTAGTTTGGTTAGTGGAAGAGGAAAATCAGGGAAGGCCTTCTGATGCAGTTGCCAGTACTTTCATGTAACCAAGTTAGCAAATGTCCTTTTACTGATACTTGTGACAAAACTTTCTCATACGTAGCTGCAATTCAACTTCAACTTCTTAGTTTTGTTAAAAAAGTAGTATACAGAAAGAAAATCTCATTTAACTAACCCCTGTTTATACAGTATTAAAACTACAAAATTATCTCACAATATTTTTTTCTTGCCTCTTGCGTGCATTCAGCATAATGGAATTCCTTTATTACTTATGTGCTCTGTAGATAAATGCTATTATATACAGTTCTACATATCTTTCTTTTAGAGAAGTGAAACTTCAAAGTAGTGTTTTATGGGTATGCAGGGAACAGAATCCAGGCTGCTTATGTACCAGTCTTACAAATATTTCAGCACCCTGTTTAAAACCCCTTGTTGGGTGATGCAGGGGACAAATGCAAGTTGGAGTGCAGATCTTGATTCAGGAGCTCATAATCTTTCTAGGAAATGGACTTCCAAAATTAATTTTATTTTGGTCTATTTTCAGGACACGTCTTACAGTTTTTTAAGATGATTCAGAGTGTAAATTGGCAAAACTTGAATTCTGATCAAGCAAAGCATCTAACTGGAAGTTTTTTCAAAGGCTTCCATCTATAATTAAACTGCAAAACTTGTTTGCATCTGCCTTAATTATTTAGCTATTTTTTATCTTAGTGTTAAGTTTTATATATGAAAAATGATCCCTAAAACCTGCAAATAAATGGAAATAATACATTTAAATGCAAATAGAGTATCCAGATTTTAAGTAGTTAATACTGCTCAAATGTGGGTTTGGAATAGATATGATTATTTGAAAGACTGATTTACCTTATTTTGCCTTCTTTTAAAAAGTTGATTCTAAATTACATTTTTATAAGTCTGTAATTTTTTGCTTTTTAGGGGTTTCTACATTGGTGAAGGTATACTGGGCAAGTGTTGTCCTGAAAGCTGCTTTTAGGATGTCTGAAGATGATGAAAAAGTTAAACTCCGTCGAATTGAACCTGCCATTCAGAAATTCATTAAAGTGGCAATTCCAACAGATTTGGAAAGGTTAAGAAAACACAAAATAAATATTGAGAAGGTTAGTGTTCACTTCTTACTAATGTAGTTCTTTTTACAGTATAGAAGCAGTCATGCTGGAAGATTATACAGAGATGTCAATGACAAGTTGATTATGAAATGCTTTAATTCAAATTTGGCTAAAAATGAGACTTCTGTGTCGTCTAGTAATTCAGTGTGTACAAAGGTCTTTACATTTGCAGTAATTAGTCAATCTGCAGAGTGAGAAACATTACTGTTTTGTGTTAAAATGTTATTGTAAGGAAAGCAACCTAATATTCTTAATTTATTTTTAAGTCACAGCAGTTTGCTGCCAACTATTCTGAGTAACTTACTGTTTGTACCTTTTTCTCTGTCTATTTTTAAACTGAGTTGAGAGGAATAGAGAGATTGAATTATTTAAGTAAAAAGAAAAAGACTTGTAACAAAATTGTAGTATGTTTATATGTTTCTTGTTGACATTAGCTCACACTTTACAGTGAAACTGAATATGCTTCCAAGAAAAATTCTTCCATACACTGTAGCAATGCCTATACTGGTAAAATAAACATGACCAGGACAGTTGTCTGGCATGAAATGGCCTATGTCCATATTATTAAATCCTCATATTCTGCAAAACAGGGTGGCTGTATCCAGACTGTTGATGGGGAATAGCCTCTGTTCCGTGTTTATAACCTCTTAGCCATCCTCAGGAACACTTTATGTGAGAGAGCTGTTTGGCATGGCCAGGGACAGTTCTAACACTTTAACAGCACAGATGACCAGATTTCAGACTTGAAACATTCTCAGTCTCTGTTTGTTAGTATAGATACAGCCTGTGGAAACAGAGAAATTGGTTTGTGGAGGAAGGTGGTGTCCTGATTTCAGCTGGGATAGAGTTAACTTTAATCCTAGTAGCTGGTATAGTGTTGTGGTTTGGATTTGGTATGGGAATTATGTTGATAACACAATGACGTTTTTAGTATGGGAATAATGTTGATAACACAATGTTTTAGTTGTTGCTGAGCAGTGCTTACACTAGTCAGGGCCTTTTCTGCTTCTCGTGTTCTGCCAGTTGCCCAAGAAGCTGGGAGGAGGCACAGCCAGGACAGCTGACCCCAACTGGCCAAGGGGATATCCCATACCATATGATGTCATGCTCAGCATATAAAGCTAGGGTAAAAGGAAGGAAGGGGGGGATGTTTGGAGTGGTGGCGTTTGTCTTCCCAAGTGACTGTTACATGTGATGGAGCCCTGCTTCATAGTGGAGCCCCCATCCCACAGGGGTGAGTGAGCGAGCAACTGTGTGGTGCTTAGTCCGCTGGCTAGGGTTAAACCACAACCGTCGTTTTTGGCACCCAACATGAGGGACAAAGGGTTTGAAATAGTAACAGATTAACCAGAGCATATTAAGGAATTTATACCTGTTAACTGTTGCTGGTCACAATATTGCTTCATCTGTTCTCGATATTAGTTTATCTGATGCTCTTTTTTTTGCTGTGCATGTTAAGGATTGGTGGTGTTTTTTGCAGTTTGCTGTGCTCTGCAGTGATTAGTGATGTTTTGCCTGGGATATTTATTATTAAAACACTGGCCTTGAGTTTAATCTAGTATTCGGGTTTTGCACTGAAGCCATTACTATACTTCAGGTACCACCTCATGGAGACAATTAGCAATTATACCTCTTACTCTGGGAGATTTTTTTATGGAGGAAATACAGAATGGCACCTTTGCTACTTTCTTCTACGATGTTTCCTCCTTCAGCACAGGAACTTTTCAGTATCTTGAACATCACTGGGTAGTTAAGATACTTCTATTGGTATTTCTTGGCAATATTGTTTTGGTTTTGTCTAAGGTTAATTAGCAGTTTGAGAATATCATCCAGAGATCTGCCCCAAGGCTATATAGTTATGAGTATGTGAGATCGCATGGGCAAGTACCTAGGACAGTGGTCACCTCCGGTGATTTGGAATTTCACCCCTGAACAAGTGCAGAATCCTAAAAAACTAGTAAAGTATTTGGAAAAAGTACGTGGTCACCTTGGCAACTCTGGAGACACACAAATCACTGCAACATGCTGGGGCCTGGACCATGCCTGCCAAGCCCTGTTGTCCTGGTTTTGGCTGGAGTAGAGTTAATTTTCTTCATAGTAGGTGGCATAGTGCTGTGTTTTGGGTTTAGTATAAGAATGTTGATAACACACTGATGGTTTAGTTGTTGCTAAGCAGTGCTTACACCAGTCGGGGCCTTTTCTGCTTCCCATGCTCTGCCAGGTGCACAAGAAGCTGGGAGGGGACATAGCTGGGACAGCTGACCCCAACTGGCCAAAGGGATATCCCATACCATATGATGTCATGCTCAGCATATAAAGCTGGGGGAAAAAGAAGGAAGGGGGGGACGTTTGGAATGATGGCATTTGTCTTCCCAAGTAACATCTTTCCTGGAGATGGCTGAACACCTGCCTGCCCATGGGAAGCTGTGAATTAATTCCTTGCTTTGCTTGAGCATGCATCTTTTGCTTTACCTATTAAACTGTTCTTATCGCAACCCATGAGTTTTCTCACTTCTACTCTTCTGATTCTCTCCCCCATCCCACCAGGGGGGAGGAAGCGAGCGGCTGAGTGGTGCTGAGTTGCCGCATGGGGTTAAACCATGGCAGGTGCCAAGAGATTTACTGAAACAGGTGACACTAATAAAAAAAGGAAGAGAGTGAGTGTCACAGATGGAAGTTTTGAAATGACCATACAAGACATATTTGTTTAGGAAAGATTATACTTACCTCCACAGAAAAGTCAGTGACAGTGAGTGTCTGTAGTTCTGCGCAGTTCTGCACATTTCTGAAAAATCATACATTGCATTAATTTGACTAGGCTTATTCACAGTGTATAAAATCAAGTATATATGTAAATCTGGATGGCATAGGACAACCATCTACATTTTTTAACACCTTGGGAAGGAATGAAGAAATTGGAAGAAAGTAAGGTGAACATGATTTTGATTGCCTGAAAAGTGTGGTCTGAAGCATGCATGTAATGTGTTGTTGAAACTGTTTTGCATTTTGCTGCTGTCATTTGTTCACAACTTTTACCATAACATTACTGTAATTTTACCAAGTGAGTAATCTTTTGGATTAAATTTTCCATGCCAGGTTTCTGCCTCGAGTAGTTTGGGGATGGGAGAGAAGGGAAAATAAATCCATGTCTTTGCTTCTGAGAACATAGTCAGGAAATAATGTGTTGTTCAATTGATAGTAATTTATTTTGGTAAGAAACGCTTAGTTTAAGTGACAGTAAGTGATTGATAGCTTAGTGATAATTTCTCTTCAAAGCAGCGACGTGTTGGAACGCTGGAGACATTTTTGTGGGGTGGTCTTGGTCTGGACAGTACATTTTGCTGTGCCTCTCAAAATCTGCCGTTTTTTGGCCAAGAGGTACAATTCTGAAAAAAAGGTGGTTTGCAGGTACTCAGTAGATACTGGTTGAACTTCACCAGCTGAAGATTGCTAAAGATTTACCCAACATTAAGGCATGCTCCTGTGCTTAGAAATCAGCAGAACTCATTCCTGGAGTTGCTAAATTGATTAGTACTAAACCTGAGAATGAAAACAGGGAGATGATTTTTCTGTGTTCCCACTGTCTCATCCTCTTACTTTCCCTTATATGTGTGCACGAGGAAACTCTTCCTGGCTCATGTAAAGCATAGAATCATAGAATAGTTTGGTTTGGAAGGGACCTTTAAAGATGATCTAGTCCAAATCCTCTGCAATGACCAGGGACATGTTACGCTAGCTCAAGTTGCTTAAAGCCTCATCCAGCCTGGCCCTGAACACTTCCAGTGATGGGTCATCCACAACTTCTCTGGCCAACCTGTTCCAGTGTCTCACCACCCTCACAATAAAGAATTTCTTCCTAGTTTCTAATCTAAATTCATCCTCTTTCAGTTTAAAACCATTACCCCTCATCCTATCACTACACTCCCTGGTAAAGGCTCCCTCCCCATCTTTCCTGTAGGCCCCCTTAAAGTACTGGAAGGCCACAATAAGGTGTCCCCAGAGCCTTCTCTTCTCTAGGCTAAACAACCCCAATGATCTCAGCCTGTCCTTGTAGGACAGGTGCTCCAGCCCCCTGATCATCTTGCTGGGCCTCCTCTGGACCCACTCAAGCAGGTCCATGTCTTTCCTGTGCTGGGTGCCCCAGAGCTGGACACAGTACTCCAGGTGGGGTCTCACCAGAGCAGAGTAGAGGGGGAGAATCACCTCCCTCGACCTGCTGGCCATGCTGCTTTTGGGATTGCCCCAACCCAGATACAAAACCTTGCACTTGGCCTTGTTGAACCTCATGAGGTTCACATGGACCCACTTCTCGAGCTTGTCCAGGTCCCTCTGCATGGCATCCTGTCCCTCAGGAGCATCAGCCACACCACTCAGCTTGGTGTTGTGTGCAAACTTGATGAGGGTGCATTTGATCCCACTGTCTATGTCCTTGAAGATATTAAACAGTACCGATCCCCATACGGACCCCTGAGGGACACTACTTGTCACCAGTCTCCATCTGGGCATTGAGCTGTTGACCACTACCCTCTGGGTGACCATCCAACCATCCACCGAACAGTCCACCCATGGAATCCATCTCTCTCCAGTTTAGAGAGAAGGTTGTTGTGGGGGACCGTGTCAAAGGCCTTACAGAAGTTCAGACAGATGACATCTGTAGCTCTTCCCTTGTCCACTGATGCAGTCACTCTTTCATAGAAGGTCACTAGGTTTGTCAGGCGGGACTTGCCCTTGGTGAAGCCATGCTGGCTGTCTCAAATCACCTCCCTTGCCTCCATGAGCCTTAGCATAGCTTCTAGGAGGATCTGTTCCATGATCTTCCCAGGCACAGAGGTGAGGCTGACAGGTCGGTAGTTCCCAGGGTCCTCCTTTAGACCCTTTTTGAAAATGGGCACAATGTTTCCCTTTTTCCAGTCACCAGGGACTTCACCTGACCACCATGACTTTTCAAATATTATGGAGAGTGGCTTTTACATTACATCAAATTCCCTCAG